CAGCATGGGGGTGAGTAGAAAATGAAGGCTAATCATGTTTTGGGTGTACTATTCCTTTAAAGATAAAACTCAGAAACAGGATTATGGTGGAATCAACTTTATTGGAAACATGAATTAGTTAAAACCAAACAACATCCAGTTTAAAAAGAAATCCTTCAATCACTTAATTTTATATGATCAAAATGTAAAAGAGACAAAAAAAAATCAAGAATTTATTTTCTTACGGTGTGCTTATGTGTATAACGTGTCTTAAAAAAAAAAACGTTTGCATAAAGCCTGTATTGGACGACTTCTGGAAACGTTTTATTTCAAAATTAACCGAATAACTTTAATTTGAAAATAATTTCTTAAGCAACCTTCAAAGCTGATAAACAGAAAAAGATTCCAAACATTAACGCTGAACTTAACGTAAAGATACAGAAAAAAAGATACATTTTTTATTTATTTATTTTTTCCTAAGTTTAAGTGTGCAGAAATAAAAACAGACCAATGTGGAGCAGATCCTGAGCAGTGATCTGTTCTCTCACAGGAAGACGACAGAAAAAAACGAGCATCTAACCAACTTCTGTTAGGATTACTGATCAATGTTCCCCTCCAGGAAATCACTGCATTAACTCTGAAGCTTTAGGTTGAAGTTCTATGATCAGAGTTAAAAAATAATGATTAGTGTTAAATAATAATAATTAGTGTTAAAGAACGACAGATTTAGCAGAGACACCTGAGAGATTATAACCAGTTGAATCGTCACACCTTCAATGAGAAAGTTTAGATTTGACATATGTCAGAATAAATTGATTTTGTCGCCCTCTGCTGGCTGTAAAAACACAATTAAAGGAAAATCTGATTTATTTATTTTTATTTTTTTGCTGTTTATTAAACAGCATCAGCCGACAAACCAAACAGTGTCGGTTCATGCGGAGTACATCTTTACTTTTCTGGTATTTTTTTCCGAATGCAATCCTTCGATAGCGATAGCGTAAATGCTATTCGGCTAATTGCTCCCCGAAGACATTAGCTACTTGCCGTTAGGGTGTCAGAAACCCCCGTATTTTTCGTGAAGCGTCTCAGTCATATCGGTATCTAAGCTCGTCTGATCCGACATGCTGAGCACTTCTACGTCTAAGTAGTCGGAGTCCAGTTCTCAAAGAGAACCTGTAGCTAGTTTCCGTTCACGCGGAACGATGTGAGAATAAGCTACTTTCTTTTCATTGTTTCAGCTTTTTTTCATCCATAAAAATGGCGAATTATGAAAACGCGTTTCAGAGTAAAAGCCTTGTAAAATGCCACTCTGTTTCGTTTCATTTATATTTTTAACGTTTTAACCAGGCAGCGCAAACATGACTGGCTTGATCCATTGATTTGTTTATCTCATACTGGCGCTACAGCGCCACCCGCAGGACTGGAAGAACTACTAAAGCCCATTTGTACCTTGTTGATTACAGAGCTTCCAAAAAAAAACCAAAAAAAATCTGTTGTTTAGGAAAATAGTTATTAAGAAACGTAAATAAGGCTGTTTTAATCTGACAGCGCTGAAGACGGATCCATCAATGCTTCGTCGCCACCGCAGGCCCGCTAACAGCGTGCTGGCGTTTCTTTGGAACTGTGTTCGTCTGCAAAAGATCCTCTTTTTCTACAAAATGAACGACAGGTCAGTCACAACAAATAGAGGACTGTAGGTGGTACCCGCCCAGCCTCATTAGTGTGAGTTTGGTAGAGAGCACCATTTAAATACAGGTAACCCTGAGAAAAGCGCTTTACTGTCTGTTGATGGATGCAAAGGTACTAAATAACAAAAACATGAAAAAAGATCAAGTTTCTCAATTATATCCAATATTTTCTACTACAGGTTGAATGTTGATGAAATACAAAGATTACTTTAAGCAAAAAAGTATAATTGTAGACAGACTTTTGGGCGATCTGACTGTTTTCTTTAAGCTATGACACAGGAGTCGGACTTTGAGGGTTGGGGTCTCGATGAGGAAGATGAAGGATAAGAGGCGGGTTGGTAACTGCTTCGGTACGGCGGAGATGATGTGCTGGAGGATCTCGATAGATAAGACGCGCTGCTGGGATTATAAGACGGGCTGCTGGGATTATAAGACGCGCTGCTGGGATTATAAGACGCGCTGCTGGGATTATAAGACGCGCTGCTGGGATTATAAGACGCGCTGCTGGGATTATATGAAGCAGTGCTGGATTGAGACACTGGTGGCGTAGGTGGAACTACTGGTTTCACTTGCTGTGCCGACGCGGTACTGAGATGATACAACGCGGTGCTGGAATTATACGACGCGGTGCTCGGTTTATATGCCGCTGCGCTAGTTTGAGACACCGGTGGCTTAGGTGGAACCACTGGTTTCACTTGCTGTACCGAAACCGTCGGTGTACTCAGTCTGTCCACAAGTGGATGTGTGGTCTTGTACTGCAGCAGGTACTCAGGATAGATCTGGTTCTCCTTAAACACTACAAATATAGAAGGGTCTGTGACGTCATTAACACAGCTGTCGTAGAGGTTATGGACTCCGCCGTCTTTGGAAGGAGGCAGTTTGTAACTGGAGTCCCCTTTAGTGTAGCTCCCCACCAGCACACGGGCCACGAACATGGTTCTGACATCAGAGTTACCGGTGTAGCTGTGCGAGTATTTAGCGTCCCGGGCAAAGTAGCTTCCTGGGATTGGAAACAAAAACATTAGTAAGAAAACAGAAGAATCTTGGTTGTTTTTGGCTGAAAAATAAAACACAAAAGCAAAATGTCTTGTAAAGGTCACTTGTAATCAGTCAATGTTGAGAACCAAGAACTTAAACTGGGAAACGTTTCAGGTTTCCAAAATTTCTCTAACCTGTTTAGCATTAGCTGGTTTTAGCCAGCAGGAGGTGCTAACATTGATCCTTCCTGTATAGAGCTAAATCAGTCTCAATTTTCACTATTACACACGTGATTCACACACACATCGCATGATTCACCAAAGTGTTTCTGGTCAATAAACAATTATAAATTAAATTAAAGCTGCAAGCGGCATTGGGTGGGCCTCGCAGCTCAGCGCCGCTCGGCCTAATGCGACCGCTGGACCCCTGCACCGCCGTCCCCACGCCTACGCCTAAACTCATGGCGTAAAGTCGACCTTCCTGACAGCAGTTCTTGCCATTCCAGATCCCAAAACGCAACGTAAAAGGCTTCCAACAGTGAAATATGGGACATCCTGAACGCCGGCCTAAGCTGATATTATCAAATCTTTTAGTGATGAAAGCCTTTCCAAGATAACAGAAAGAAAAAAAATTCCTCTGACCTGCCTTATTGAGGTTATAAAAGCACGGCTGTGTATGAGTTAGAGATGTTAAGTACGCATTAAAAGAAAAAAAAGGCTAACATGAGAAACCTTAACTAGCACCTTTAACTTACCCTTGCCATAAGCTGTCCCATTAACCCCACACAGCCGCCACTCAAAGTTGTTGTGGCAAATAGCTTCAACGTACTCGGGGTTGGTGCCGTGAAATAGTTGCTTTTCTACTACTTCCTGTCCACCGTTGTTGGTCTTCATCTTATTCTTTTGCCTTCAGGTAAAAAGGTTACAAAGAGATGTTGATAAAGCTAACATACTATGCTAGCATGCCATAATAACACACTACGCTAACACACTATGCTAACAAGCTACACTAGCACACTATGCTAGCATGCTATAATAACACACAATGCAAGCATGCTATGATAACACATTATGCTAACACACTATGCTAGCATGCTATAATAACACACTATGCTAGCATGCTATAATAACACACTATAACATGCTACACTAGCACACTAATCTAGCATGCTATAATAACACACTATGCTAGCATGCTATAACACACTATGCTAACACACTATGCTAGCATGCTATAATAACACACTATGCTAACATGCTACACTAGCACACTATGCTAACATGCTACACTAGCACACTATGCTAACACACTTTGCTAGCATGCTATAATAAGACACTAAGCTAACACACTATTCTAATATGCTACATTAGCACACTATGCTAACACACTATGCTAACATGCTATAACAACACACTATGCTAGGATATCATAATAGCACAGTATGCTATCACACTATGCTAACATGCTACACTAGTACACTCTGCTAACACACTATGCTAGCATGCTATAATAACACACTACACTAACATACTGTGCTAACATGCTATAATAACAGTAGACTAACACACTATGCTAACATGCTACACTAGCACACTCTGCTAACACACTATGCTAGCATGCTATAACACACTACGCTAACACACTATGCCAGCTTGCTATAATATCACACAATGCTAACATGCTACACTAGCACACTATGCTAACACACCATGCTAGGATGCTATAATCCTATAATACATGCTATAATAACACAGTATGCTAACACACTATGCTAGCATGCAATAATAACACAATATGCTTACACACTATGCTAACATGCTCCACTAGCACACTCTGCTAACACACTATGCTAGCATGCTATAATAACACACTACACTAACATACTTTGCTAGCATGCTATAATAACAGTAGGCTAACACACTATGCTAACATGTTACACTAGCACACTCTGCTAACACACTATGCTAGCATGCTACAATAACACACTACGCTAACACACTATGCCAGCTTGCTATAATAACACACAATGCTAACATGCTACACTAGCACACTATGCTAACACACCATGCTAGAATGCTATAATCCTATAATACATGCTATAATAACACAGTATGCTAACACACTATGCTAGCATGCCATAATAACACAATATGCTAACACACTATGCTAACATGCTCCACTAGCACACTCTGCTAACACACTAAGCTAGCATGCTATAATAACACACTTTGCTAACACACTATGCTAGCTTGCTATAATAACACACTATGGTAACATGCTACACTAGCACACTATGCTCTCACACTTTGCTAACATAATATGCTAACACACCATGCTAGCATGCTATGCTAACATACTGTGCTAATATGCTATGCTAACAGATGAGGCAAGCATGCTTTACTAGCACACTACCCTAGCACACTATGCTAACACACTATGCTAAAAGATGATGCTAGCATGCTGCTCTAATGTATCCAAGCCTCATTTTGAAGGGAAATCAAACAATAATGCTAATATTGGTAACAAGATAGAAAATTTTTTATAATGTAAGAGTTGTTTTTATTTTAAATCATCGTAGAAAAAATCTAGAAGCAGCAGGAGGCATAATTGCATATTCAAAGCTCTGAACATCGATATCCATGCCTTTTTTGCACCATGATTTCCCCCACACTGTTAACATTTGATCTTAGAATCTCAGAATGATTTAAAATGAAAATAAACCAAACTACTGTAGTTTAGACAGTTAGTCCACAGGATACGTACCACTGAAAGAGTTCCCAAAGTGCTTTGTTCTGAATCCTCTCTATCTGGATAATATCAAAGCCTCTCATGGTTGTACTAAAAAGTGTTTGAAGCCTTTTAAATTCATCTGATGTTTGCGGAATGGAGACTTTCTACAACACAAAGAAAGAGGAACATTTTAAGATGCAGGATGGATGGATCATTAATATTTGCTTATTTTTATATTGGAAAACATAGATGTATGAAGGCCAGAACAGACAGGATCACTAAACAAACAAATGCAAAAAGTAAATCAAAATAAAAAACAGATTCTATAAACTATACATTAAATAAATAAATGAAGCAATAAGGTATCTTGGAGTTGTTTAGTCTTCTATCTAAAATACAACTTGATCATTTGACGTTAGCCTTGTTTTAACGCACATGTTGCATAAGTCCAAAATTTAAGAAGTGGATTAATGAGACCATTAGGACGGAGTTTATCTTTGAAACCACTGATCATGTTCACTATAGTTTGTGTTTATTAAAGGGATCCATGATTGGAAGTAATAAAAGACTTCATTTAACAAATATTTATTTTCAACACAAAACAATAGCTGTTTTGTTTTAATGCATTTAAACAAAACAGCTACACAAACATCGCCATTTTGTTTATGTTTAAAACAGCAACAAGTAATATAAACCTTTTCACTTTGAAGCAAAGCGCCTTGAAATTGATAAAAATGTAAAAATCACAAGAGATAATGAAGATGAGGAGAAACAAACGGAGGAAGAAAGCTAGAAGATGCTAACCCAGATGTTGAGCTATGCTACAAAGTGCTCCAGTTTCTAACTATTCAGGCTATTTAGGGTTAGCATCAGGATCAAAACATTTTCTCAGATATATTAGAACGATGTAGAAAAGTTGTTTTCCTGTTAGCTTCTGCTAATGGTGTTAGCTCTAGCATATAATAAACAGTAGACCACATTTGTTTGTTTCTGCAGATATCTGATGTAGAACGGCTCATGAAAACTTTGAGGCAGCGATGTCGTGTGACATTGTGTAAATTTACACCAGTAATTCACAATAGGATAAAAGCGACTCTGCTAATGTTAGCCTTCTAGTGTTTACACTGTAGGTTCTAGTCCAGAAAGACCTAACATCATCAATTCTGCATGCACAGGTTAAAAAAATGGGTATAAAACATAAAGAGTATGTAATTTTTGAAGTAATTACTAGTTTTTACGTATCACAAATAGCAATTTTCAAGTTAACAAGAAAATTAAAATGAGGGCGACATATTTAACTAGTCGTTGATTCCATAAAGGTCAAATTTCCATCCTTGTTTCTCCAAACTTCTGGAACTTATATTTAAATGTATTATTAGTACCTCAGCCAATAAACCAGAAAGTAGAGAATGCTGTCAGCTTCAAGCATCCAGGATCCTGAGTTAAGTGAACCTTCATCAGCGCAGACAAAGTGTTTGCATAGTGGTGAAGGTTAGTATTGCTGCAAAATTGCTATTCTAGCTACAAATTTGTTGCAGGTTACATGAGCTGAGGAAAGCTTTAAAGATCTTAAGGCTGATTTATACTCAGAAACCAGGTCGTCTGCGTGTGTCGCAGTTAACGCAGATATGCCCCGCCCCCCTTCCGCAGACAAAATTGTAGGTGACAGCAGACAGGAGGCCTCTGATTGGTCAAATCTACATCCGCTCTACAATATGCGTATTTCCTGTTTGGTTCCTTACCGGCTTTTTTGTTTGTCTGACCACCATTATGGAAAACGACTGGTGAAGATGGAGCAGCTAGCATAGCGAGGGACCCTTTTCCCACCTGGATCCCCGCTTTTCTTGCCCCTTATGTCCCTCCGTTGTCGCACAAACATGCCCCCACTTCCTCACCGCCTCGGCCGTATCTAGACCCACAGCTAGTTCCTGATTGGCCGTCTGGCATTGTGGCGTAGAATAACATAGGAGAAACCACGCTTCAATATGGACAGAAATCAAAAATATTCGCGAAAAGCTCACCGCGACACACTGTTGGGGGAGGATAATCAGGACTTTACTGTTTTAAATGCGTAGGACAATAATGCAGGCGCATTATTTACCAAAAACACATATTTTTACTGAATGAAAAGACACAGCAGGCACTCGTGTGTGTATCCGTTTCTGGGTGTTTTTTAAAATTTCTTTTCCAGCGTTTTATTGTCATTCCACTGTCACACGTACAGAGCAACGAAATTCCCTCTCTGCATTTAACCCCTCCCCTTGGGGAGCAGTGGGCTTCCATTGTGCGGCGCCCAGGGAGCAGAGTGGGGTTAAGGGTCTTGCTCAGGGACCCAGAGTGGCAGTCTGTGGGAGTGGGATTCCAAGCTTTACGCCCTAACCACTAGGCCTCTAGTTCAATATAATTTTCTTGTTAACTTGAAAATTGCAATTGTGTCCCAACAACTGTCGGGTATTCCTGTTCCTTTGTGATTCGTCCATTAAGTTCTAATGAAATTATTGTATTCTTTTTGAAAAAGAATAGTTAGCTAAACGGTCGGATAGAGGGTGTAAAAGCAGGAAGGAAAACATGATTACTTCAGAAACTCCTTCCAACTACAGCCGATATAAACCAAGAGGTTGTTATTGAACTGGGAATATTTCTGACATCAGAGGCGTGCACAGACATTTTGGGGGGCAGGTGCTCAGGAGGGGGGGGGGCACTTTTTAGCACACGTGGAACACTTAATTATAAAAAAAAAATAGACACGCATGTTGATTGAAATGTTACTTTTTTTTGTAACATTCTCTAAACGTGAGTTTTCAATGGAAAAAAGTCACACCACCAACAGAACAGACTAAAGCGTACTACTTTAAAGTAGTACGCTTGCTCATCTTTCTTCTTCTTTCATCTGGCTCATCTCCCTGTGAGCGACCGCGCGAGTTCACGTGACAAAGGAAGAGAGGTGGCTCATTTCGGGGCATTGTTTCAGTCGTTTTTAATGGCTCAGGTTTTCAAAAGATCATTTCAAAACTGACCTCAGTAAAATCTTAATAATATTTATAATAAAAAGAAAAAAAACGAGTTTCAAAAGGGCATTTTCGTTGATAAAGGGCAAACTTCCTAGTGCTTTAGCACCACCTAGTGTCTATGTCTGACATATTAATTTATCGGTTTACTAAAAATATAGCATCACTTTTCTGAGAGGCTGCTGACGGAGATCTATACATAAAAACAGAAAACAAGCCACAGATATTACACAAATCTATTTTATTTAACAAGTAAACATTGGGGTTTTGTGAAACGTACCGCAAGAACATAAATAGGCATTTTGTTTCTCTTGGTGGTAAATATAGACGTACAAACATAATTATATTCGATGCAGAGCAAAGTTACATTTTGATAAACTTTCTGCTTTCGTTTTTTTTTTCTGAACGCGTTTAGAATGAAAATTACGCTTTTATTTCCTTTAAAGCTCACAATACACCGAATCTCTGCTTTTTCAGTTTCTACAAATAACAGATGTGATTATTGAGAGAAATATGTTTGCTTCACAAGGTTTCTATGAGATTAAGCAGCTTATAGTGGATTTACACAGATATCATTCCAGCTAGTTTGACATCATGGACATTGAACAAGCTGGTGAAGGAGGTCAGCTCTGCTCTATGAACACTTCTAGATGCTCTGGATATAGTTCTACAGCAAAGAGTTATTCATAAAGTGAAGAACATCACGGACAACAGTGAGCATCCTCTGCAGAAGATTTTTAAACAACAACAGAGGCTACGTTCACCCTGCAGGCCTTGATGCTCAA